TGGATTGTGATAGAAGTTTTTGAAATGTGTGGTTGAAAAGATGTGGGATCCATGAAAGATGTGGTTGATATTAATTGTTTGGCTTTGATTTAGATTAAAATCAGATTTTAATCCGGCCACAACAGGCCCTAAAGGGAATTTTATTGCTTCCTCCTCATTATCTAGTGATATAACAGTTTTCCTTTTGTAATATTATTTTTAAATTATTCAAAATAAATAAATAAATAAATAATGCATACTACGAAAATGTACTTGTACTTCATATGCCCATGTTTGAACCACATTCTTAAAAAAATTCAATGTTTCAAAATTCATGTTTAACTATACATTTTTCAATAAAATAATATTACACGTATATCCAAATTTTTTTCTTATGTTTTAACTACACATTCTCCATCAAATCACTATTTAAAAATATATTTTTGGCAAAATAAAAATAAAAATGAGACTCAAGCAGGCTCATATACTAATTTTAAATTTATGTCATTTCAGTGTATTATTATATTATATGTTCAACATATGATAATGATAATGCAGTGATTTAGAATTCAGTAATGAAAAGAGCGACTCACCAAATTTGCTTACTTTATTGTAAAAGTACCAAATCTCCATACTTTTCTTCAGCTAAATGAATCGTCCCTTTTTGGAATTGGGATTACCACAGTTGGATACTTGTATATACTACGGGTACATTCCACACGTCCCATGATCTAAATACTAGAGTTTTTCAAATCAACAAACTTAAATTTCATGACAATATTTGATTTGAATGATTCTATAATCTCTAAGGTGTGTTTCTCCGAGAGAACCAACATAATATTCTTCAAGAATATTAGTACATGTAGAATCATGTGACTTAATTAGCAATGTCACATTATTCTTTTTAATTTATTCACGAATAACCAAACAATACACTTTAAGAATGTTAGTATATAAAATTTTATGAATATTTATAAACAACAAAATATTTTTTAAATATTAATATGTATAAGCCGTTCTTTGAAATAATCAAATATTCTTTAGAATAATGGATTTTTTGTATGAAGTTATGCTTCTCCAAGAACATTAACATATTTATTAGACTCGGAGTCATGTAGTTAATTTTCAAGATTAACACAATATTTTTCAAGAATGTTGATTTGTATAAAATTTTGACTTCTTCAAGATTATCAAAATAATATCATCCTTGAATATTTATGTAGTTGGATTGTGTTTCTTCATAAACATCAACACAAAATGTCTTCATATTAAGTTGTGCTTCTTTATGAACACAACAAGATATATACGCTTCAAGTATAAATATAATATTCTTCTGAAAATATTGTAATTGCACTATCATGCTCTTCAAAAGCAAGTAATATTCTATTAGAATATCAATTGCCTTATGCTACTTGAGGAACAACAACAAAGTATTATTTAGAAACATTTATTTATGTAAAGATTTATTCATGATGAGCAAAAACATAATATATATTAAATCTTATAAAATTATGCTCTTTGAGAGCAAGTAATAATATTGTATTAGCAGGATTGTGCTTCTTTAGAAGCAACAATATGATACATATCAATTTAAAAATATAAAAGAGCATTTAAAATTTTATTGGACTCATAAACAGTGAAGTAGTGAACATTAATTAAATTATCTAATTAATTAGTCAATTGAATATATCATAGTTATACAATCATAAATGGCAAGAACAACTGTCGTGCATATTCATATTAACAAATTTCTTTAATAATTTGTCACACTTGGTGATTCTAACCATGAAGAGAAAGTTGATTCCATAATAATTTTATAATGATTTTGCTATTATATTCAAACATGTGACGTGCTCCTACATGTTCATATAAACATAGATTATACCTGTCATCGATTTCGTTTGTGATACGAAGATGAATTGGAATTGGAATTTCTTTTGAAATATTATACTAAAAACTTTGAATAATTAAGCTATTGTGCTGATAATATGTTTTAAAATAGTTAGAATAGGAGAACAAAATGTAGAAAAGTCAATAAATGTGTGTGTATGTCATTGAGAACCAAAGTCAGACATTTATAGGGAACAATTAGAGTTGTAGGAATACAATAATCATAATAACTATGGCTACAAGGGTATAATAGTCATTTATTAATAAATATATGATTTACAATAATTATCATTTTATCCTTTAAAATTGGGGAATAAAATAAAGTTTTAAAGGTTTGAGATTGTGGGAGCAACAAATAAAATGTTTGGATATAATTTGAAAACATAAATAAATAAAAATCTTGGGGGCAACACATACAACTATTTCTTTTTATTTTTGGCCATTTTTACCGTTTTAATGTCTAAACTAATGAAATTGGATGACAGAGAGGTGGTTCACACCTGAAAGGTCATGTATGGGAGTTTTTAGCCAATTTAAAAAGATGGGAAGTATTTCGCAATAGGTCCAAACAATATGAGGCTTTTGCGGCAAATAAGCCTTATTGATTTAGTAGCATCATTCATTATTTCATTGGACACTAATGAAATCTGAAATTAAGATATATTTTGATTTTAACCTCATCCAACTAAAAAATCATGGCATTCTGGTAATCTTTGGAAACACTCGTAGTCACTAGTCATAACTGAACGTGCATTGCACGTTATTTTGAAATACTTTATGAGTGTCGTGAAAGTAATATTTGACCCTTCATTTACCCTTTTGATCTAAATATGATAGAAATACAAACCCCTGAAAATAAATGTAAATTATAAATGCACGTAAATAGTGAAATGCATACTTGAATGAAAGTATTAAAATTACAACTAAGTGCATAAATAAAACTGAATGACAAATAAGATAAATGAATTAACGAGAATGCTGATTAATTTAGAATTAAGGAATATATACATGACAATGAATGTTAAATCGTTTATACTAAATGAATATGATTTAATTTTCAATTAAATGGAACTGGATGTTAATTAACATACATGGATGTGAATAGTGAAACTGTATTTTTTAATATAAAATTCTAATTAATATTAATTAAATGAATATGAATATCAATTAATTGAAAATTAATATCAGAGACATGGACGTGAATGTGAATGTGAAATTCTAATTAATATTAACTAAACGAGTGGGATTGTTAATTAATTGAGAATTAATAACAGTGAATACATTACAATTTGTAAATTAAATTCATATTGAAAATTAAAAAATATATTATTGAAATAATTGAATTGTAGTAAGACTATAAACGTCCAAATAATGATAAAAATGATTCTCACTTGTTGTAATATTTAATATATTATAGATGTATTGTTTCGAAATGAATTTTTTTCTTTTTTTAATATATGTTTTCAAATATTCTCAGATGAATCTCCCTCACACTCTTGCTCCTCAATATACGGAGCCAGTTTATGGCATTCTATTCTGCATTCACCAAAATCATCCAAACTTTTCAGTCTTTCTCTCTCTACAGCATCACCAAAAAGTTAAACAAACCTTTGAAAACGTTTAACAATAATTATCAGAAAGGAAAGGATCATTAAAGTATGGGAGCGTACAGGGCGGACGAGGATTATGATTACCTGTTTAAGGTAGTGCTGATAGGTGACTCTGGCGTAGGAAAATCCAATCTTCTGTCTCGTTTTACGCGCAATGAGTTCAGCCAGCAGTCAAAATCCACTATCGGCGTTGAATTCGCTACCCGATCCATTCAAGTTGAAGACAAGGTCGTCAAGGCCCAGATTTGGGACACCGCAGGCCAAGAAAGGTATCATTTATTCTGCATCAGTCATTGCTATGAACCATTTATACGTTGATTTGTATTGGTTTTTAGGACAAATGATATTTTGTGGGATGGATCTCAGAATACCGTTACATTAACAGTTCATCTCCTTATTCATGAAATTTGATTGGGTGGGTTCTTGGTTGATTGGAATCTAAAGGCTTGATTGAAATAGTATCGATATTTTAGAGCCAAAGAAGTCTGGCACGAAGAATCCGATAAATATAAATAGTCACAATCATGTCTCTGGTTTTCCATTATTAGATGAATCTGCATTGAAAATATTTTGTTGTTTTTGTTTCTAGGGATAAATCCTAACTCGATTATACATCTATAAAAGAGAAATGCTATTCATCCCCATTGGGGATGCATCCCCAGTCTATGTGGTGTTAATGTGTCATTAAATGATAGGTGAAATTAAATAAGTCATTTAATTTCATCTATCATTTAATCAATCATTTATATCCACATAGATTTGGGATGAATAGCATTTTTCTATATAAAAATATAACCAAAATATAAGAGTTTGAGTGGACCCGTCTTAAATAGTTTTGAAAAAGAAAATTCTTTCATTGTCTTGAAAGAATTCTTGTTGGCCTGCACTTTTTATTACTTCCATGTTTGGATTTGAGCAGCAGTAAATTTTCCCCTTTTGGAGTTTGCATGCTATATGATTCCACTAGCAATTTAACAAATAACTAGGGTAATTTCCGTGAATTTTGGATGTTGCCAGCCAAAAGGGTTCTCCTAATAATATCAGTTGGGGGAGTCTTGTCCAAATCTTGAATGTCCACAGAGCATGTTTATTCTCTGCGGTCATGTCATGAACTCTACTGATGTAGGGTTAGAACACGAATTACTTAGAATTATCTACGCAATATTGCATGAATATATACTTACTCGACTTCTTGCTAATTCCAGGTATCGTGCGATCACAAGCGCCTATTACCGAGGAGCTGTTGGCGCTCTACTCGTTTATGATGTCACTCGCCATGTAACCTTCGAAAATGTGGAAAGATGGTTGAAGGAGCTTCGAGGTCACACTGACATGAACATCGTAATCATGCTGGTTGGAAATAAAGCAGATCTTCGTCATCTGCGCGCTGTTCCCACAGAAGACGCTAGGGCGTTTGCTGAAAGGGAGGGCACGTTTTTAATGGAAACTTCGGCCCTGGAAGCTTTAAATGTTGAAAAAGCTTTCACAGAAGTCTTGACACAAATCTATCATGTAGTCAGCAAGAAGGTCCTTGACATAGGAGATGATCCTGCAGCTTTGCCCAAGGGACAAACCATTAATATCGGAACCAAAGACGATGTATCCGCTGTGAAGAGGACAGGATGCTGCTCCGGCTAGATCCTGTAGAAATAAGATTCAAGGCACGAAGAGTTTTAACTCCCCAGAAAAAAACAAATGTATATAATTGTGTAATGCAAGTGACATAGATTCTTCTGAACTTGATAGAAAAAGGGACCATAAAGACAATGATAGATTGTAAAGGAGACTTACAAGTGCTTTTACCATCTAAATATGTAAGGAACACATGTATAAACCCGGTAATTACTCTCTCCGTTGATTTCAATTAATGTTAAAAGATCGAAGCAGAAAATAGTAGTATTATAGTGCAGTTACTGTTGAATTTGGTTGTCACTTTGGCTGTCAAGTTTTTATCATCATTTGAATGCTGAATTTTGTAACCAATGTCATGTGATTTAAAGTACTATAGTTGGTAGTTTAACTCTTGTAAGTTGTCCAAGTATGGTCTTATATATTGTTGTCAACTTGATAGATAGGAGTAGGTAGAAGTTGTTGAAAATCAAGTGTTTTGTAAGTGATATATATTTAGTAAAGAAAGAAGGCTGTGTGCTTCTTTTCTCCATTTTTCTTCTTCCCTAAAAAATAGAGTATTATGTGCAAATCCGATAAGCATTTTGCACATACGGTAAGCGCATTGCACATATGGTGAGCTTTGTGTAAAATCGGTAAGTATTGCAAAATCTGGTAAGAACTCAAATCCAATAAGTTATAAGCATATTCGGTAAGCTCATTGCATATTCGATAAGTTCATCTCTTTGAATCAATAATCTAACATGGTATCCGAGCATTATTGATCTTAGAAAGGGGACCGTAAGAAGGGGAAGAAGAACAAGAACAAGTGCAGCAGACAAAAGAAATCACCAGCAAAGTTATATTCAAATGACAGGGAAGAAAAATGGCTTCAACTGATTTTTCAGCACCATTACCCTCTACCTTCACTGGAGAAAACTACAATTTCTGGGCTGCTAAGATGAAGGCTTATCTCAAAGCTTATGAATTGTGGGAAATCATAGATACTAGAGTTGAGCCTTCTCCTTTGAGAGCGAATTCAACCGTGGCTCAGATTAAGTAGTGCAATGAAGATGAAGCATAAAACTTGGGAACTAGCTGGTAGACCACTGGACAAGAAAGTTATTGGAGTGAAATAGGTATATAGGACTCAACTAAATCCAGATAGTTCAGTTAACAAGATAAAAGCCAGACTGGTTGTTAAGGGTTATGCTCTGCAGTTTGGTGTTGATTACACTAATACTTTTGCCCCTATTGCTAGATATGAGATTATTAGATTGCTTATGGCAATTGCAGCTCAAAGTGGTTGGAAAATCTACCAATCAGATGTCAAATCAGCTTTCCTAAATGGTTATCTAAATGAGCAGATTTTCATAGAGCAATCTGAAGGCTTTCAAATAGAAGATAATGATGATAAAATCTATCTATTAAAGAAAGCCTTGTATGGCTTAAAGTAGGCTCCAAGAGCCTGGTATAGTTGAATTGATAATCACCTTGGTTATCTTGGTTTTACAAAGAGCTTAAATGAACAAACTCTATATGTAAAACAAGTGAAAACAAGAATGGTCATATTACAAAGAGTTTAAATGAACAAACTATGTATGTAAAACAAGTGGAAGTAGAAATGGTCATCATATCACTCTATGTTGATGATCTCTTGATCACAGGTAGCAGTAACAAATCAATTAGAGAAATGATAAATGATTTGAAGATGGCTTTTGAAATTACTGATCTGGGTGAGATGCATTGCTTTCTAAAAATTGAAATTTATCAAGATCAACAAGGAATTTTTATCAGTCAAAGGAAGTTTGCAAATGATGTGCTAAGGAGATTTAACATGGAGACCTGTAAAGCTGTTAGCACACCATTAGTTTAGAATGAAAATTTGTTGAAGGAAGATGGTGTAAAGCAGGTTGATGCAAAGGTTTATAAAAGTTTGACTGGTTGTTTGCTGTTTAACCAAACCTAATATTACATATGCTATAAATCTTCTATTAAGGTTCAGACAGGAGCCTAGTGAATTGCACTTTCAAGCAGCCAAATGTGTCCTGAGATATGTCAAAGGAACTGATGAAATTGGGATCTGGTTTAAGAAGTTAGAATTGTGCAAGTTAACCGGCTACACTGATAGTGATTGGGCAGGGAGTTTTGAGGATATAAAGAGCACTTCTGGCTACATATTCTATGTTAGTTCACGTATTATATGCTGGAATTCAATGAAACAGAAAACTGTGGCACAATCAACAGCTGAAGCTGAATACATGGCTGCTGCAGAAGCTACCAATTAAGCAATTTGGCTAAGGAAGGTGTTAGAAGATCTGAAGTTCAAGCAAGATGAGGCCACAATTATCTATTATGATAATCAGTCCACAGTTGCTATGGTGAAGAATCCAGTCTTCCATGGTAAAACCAAACACAATTATCTCTGATCAAGTGCTTTCAGCATCAACTATCCAAGAACCATTTGCTTTTTATCTTCTTTGGTATCTATGAAGATAATTTAATTTTTGATCTTTAGTACACATACAAGCTTGGGTCATTGGTAGTTAGTTTTAGTGGATTCTTTAATCCACTTGTTTTTGCTTTCAAAATGTGGCCTCTTTTTGGTTAGAGAATTAAAGGTAACATGTCCATTTTTATTGCAAAAGCTACATGGCCACAATTATCTATTATGATAATTAGTCCACAGTTGCTATGGTGAAGAATCCAGTCTTCCATGGTAAAACCAAACACATCAAAATTAAATACAATTCACCCAGAGAAGCTCAGGAACAAAATGAAATAAAGCTGGTGCACTGCAAATTTGATGATCAACTTGCAGACATATTAACAAAGTCTTTCGGCAAGGCAAGGTTTGAAACATTGAAAAACAATCTTGGTGTTTCCAGCAAAAGAACTATATTATAAAGGCTAAGGACTCTCCAATGGCCAACTGTATAGTCAACAACAACCCCCACGGGGATATGAATGTGCCATTTATCACCTTTACGTAGGAGGATACGACAGGTTTACACTATACCCACTTTGATGCTGTAGTGGTGAGCACCACGTTAGCTCATAATGGGCTAAAACACATGTTGGTGGACAATGAGAGTTCAGTCACATGCTACCTATGATAAAAAGCTAGTAGAACATGAGCTAGCCCCTATGACCTCCCTATTATATGGGTTCACTGATGATAATATTATTCCAAAAGGAAAAATCACACTTGTAGTAGAGATGGGGCACCTCTTCAAGTAGCTCGCCACTTTATGGAATTTTTTTGTGGTGGATAATATGTCAACCTATCATGAAGTCTTTGATAGACTTGCCTTAAATGAGCTATGGGCTGTCATATCCATCCATCGCTGATGCATGAAGTTTTCCATGGAACATGGCATTGCAACTACTAGAGGTGATCAGATGGGTCTAGGGAGTGCTACCTCAACAACCTAAGAAAGGCCCAACCACATGCTGTTAATATGGTGTTATAGAGACCAAAATGATCGTGTACCTAAAGAAGAGCAAATATATGAACAAAGAAAAGACTTCGAAATGGTAGATGTCCCTGAAAAAGGAAGATCCTTGAAGCAGGGATTACGCTTGAAGAAAGGAGATCCCTGAAGAAACGATTGTATATGATGAATTTGACCCTAGCATCATTGAGTCCGAGTCACAAACTATTCCAATAGATGAATCGAAAAGCTTATCGGTAGACCTCCAAGATCTCACCAAAGCAATACAAATGGGTAGGGACCTATCTCTACAAGCTAAGGAAATTCTCAAAAGCGTCTTATGAAAGAATTCGGATGTTTTTGCTTGGAGGCACGAGGATATGGTTGATATTGGCCCAAAGGTGAGCTTCCACACCTAAAAATTGATCCTAAATATGCCCTGCCTAGACAAAAGAAAAGATCCATCAACCCTGAGAGGTGTGAAGCCCTAAATAAAGAGTGGAGAAGTAGACAACCAATAGCTTTATTAGAGAGGCTATGATTATGCCCAAAGAATAACACGGCTATTGTAGTACAGCTTTGGGGTGTTTATTCTATAGAGAGATGGAAATTACTCAAAGGATAAAAAAGAATGAATTATTCTCTCAAATGTGTAGTCGAATTTGGTATTTGAATGAAATTAACATCAATGTCTTGAGATGGTAAAATTAAAATCAATGAATTTAGGCATTGAAGCATTGGAATTGCTTCATTTGGATCAGATCATTTACATCAATTATTCATTTTTATAACTCAATTAGAGGTTTTCATCTCAACACCTTAATCGGAGGATATAACATTACAAATCAATTTAATTCACTAGTAGTTCTAAAATCTAGACTTACTATAACGTATCCGCACAATTTTAGTGAAATCAGATTCAAAAATCGGCAATATACTTCAAGCACAAAACAGTAATTACATCACACCAATAAAATAATTGAGATTACAATTCAACAATTAGCTCAATTAGTCGATAGAAAAAACCTGACTGAATCTATGATTAATCTAGTAAAAGTTAAATCAAACTCAANGTTCGATAGAAAGAGCGTGACTAAATCTATGAAGAATTTAGTAAAAGTTAAATCAATCTCAACAAAGGTTTATAAAATTGAAACTCAACATATATTTCGATTAAATAATGGAAAAAACATGACTGAATCCATGAAAAATCTAATAAGAGTTAAACCGATTTCACAATTTAGTTCTTCATGGAGTTTCTTGAGCACCAAGAAGAGAAAAGTTGTGTATTGAGGTGTTTGGTCCATTCCTCCTTCATTCTAGATGGCTCTAGAGTTAATATATGCGCCCTAGTATTTGTTTCCATATGTATTTCATTCGTTGAAATTACGTCAAAATTAAACATCTATGCAACCTGATAGTGAAGAAGCACGTGACCACATAGAAGGCCGGAGTTGGGTGCTAGAATTCACTGAAACGGTCCATGCGACCACATGGAGATAACGCTATGCGACCACATAGTTTAACCAAGTTATGAATTCTTGTGTTTTGGTCCTTTAACTCCGTTTTGCGTTTTGTGACTTCTTTTTCTACTTC